GATGCCCAAGCGCCCGTGCGTTGGAGAATCCTGCGACTAAACGGATCAGGGAGTGGCGACCAAGACATGCTTGGAGTTCAGGGCCCGAGGCAAAACTCTCAACCCAAATCCCGAAAACGGCCAAGCACAGGGTGCGCCTCTTCGCGACATTCTTCCTTGAAGTCTTCCTCGCAGGTTCACCCTCAACCCGTCAAGTTCGGGAAGGGGAGGGTGTGCGTGGGGAAACTTTTGGTGGCAATGCGTGGCGCTAGAAAGCTGCTAGAGAGACTGCAGCCCGATTCTGTGGGCGAACTTTAAAAACCCGAAAAGCCGTTTGCAAGTATTAGGTCCAGTAGCCTAGACTGGACGTGCGACCGAGTCATGCACTTAAATCGGCTTTGACGCGATCCTTAAGGCATGTTGTCGTGAGGCTTGTGCCCCGAGCTGGCATCAGTCCAACAAGCTAAACCTGAAACACTCTTTGAGTCACAAGCCCAAAGCTCCGCTTGCGAAGATGACGCAAATCCTGAATCCCGAGCCCCAGGTCTAAAACCACCACAGCTAACTGCACGCTAAACCCTAACAGCTGAACCACAAGCCTGAAGCAGTGAAACCTGTATCGAAGGGAACCTGAATCTGTGGCATGTTGCTGGGACCAACAGCTGCGCACAGCGTGGTGCCAAAGCCTCACGACATGAGTCATGGACCAAACACGACCATGCAAGATAATAGCTCGAGAAAAAACGAGCCCAGCTACGAATATGCAAATACATATACATGTACATATACATATGCACATGTGCACATGTGTGTATGTATGTATGTATGTATGTACATACATACATACACACATGCATACATTTGTACATGCATAAAGGCATAGAAGGAGAGATAGAGAGAGAGCGAGAGAGAGGGAGACAGAAAGAGAGAGTCTCCAGTCCCCAGGCCAACATCCAGTCGAGCTCGTGGGACACATCCAAGTTACCCAAGCTCCTCACCCACTAAAATCCTAAAGCCTACCCTGAACCCTCCAACTACCTAAGCCCCTCTTTGCCCCTGGCTAAAGCCCAAAGCCCTGCTCAGGACGTTCGACCCAAAACGCCAAAAAACTGTCTGCGATCACTAAAAGTTCTTCACCCCCACGCCGCCCATGTAGAAACCCTCTTTCCCACCGTTTCACACCCGATAACAGTCTGGAAAACACTCGACACAAAGCCTACGCCTTCTTTCTTGAAGCGCCTCAGGGACCCTCGCGAGCTCGGAGAGCAACAGCTCCAAGCCGTCCTCAAGGGCCGATTGCAGCTTCCGGTCTCTTGGGGTCAGGATTGCAGGGTGCAGGGTGGAGGGTTTAGACTCTTTGGTGCTGTCGGGTTTAGGAGTTTAGGATTACATGCTTAGGGGCTTAAGTGAATGGGCTTCAAAGCCTTGGCGGTTTAGGAGGCTCAAGGGCTCGACGTTTGTGAGCTTTGGCATTCGGGCTCGCGCTGACGGTCTCCGTCTCTAAGGTCTAAGGACTTGTCCTTGCAGGATTCTAGCCCCAAAGACACATGAACTTCATGTTCTTGATCTGTTCTTGAGCCTTGGGCTTGAGGCCATGGGGCTTTTGGGCCCATGGCAATTGAGCCTTTCGATCATAAGGGGGACCGGCTTGAAGCTCCGAGGGTTCTGAGTGTTGGGGTTCCGACGGGCTTGGGTTTGGGCTGTATCGGCACAAGGCTTGAGAGTTTGGGGTTGAAGTCTTACCGCTTTCGTGGCACAGGCTCTATAACGGTACTTTGGCTGTTGGCACTCTCCCGTCCAGGGCGAGTCTCGGGGTTTCGGCTTTTTGTCACCACAGGCAACATACTTTACAACATTATGCATGGCTGGCGCGCCAGCACGGCAGGGCTTTCGCAAGAATAATGTCATCATCCGAAGTGGGAGCTTGTGAAACTGTGTTACGTACATGTATATACACATATACACAACTTTCACTTTTTGCATATACACATATATATATATATACACTCATATATATATACTTATATATACATATATATATATACACATACATATGTACATGTACATATATATACGTACATATTTTCATATGCATATATATATATATATGTATATATACAATTACATATGTATGTAAACACAAATATACATATACACATGTACACATATACATATGTATATACACACATATTAAGTACACATGTGTGCACACATGAATATAATATATATATATATATATATATATATACATGCACGCTAGCTAAGGTTCAACGTGCTCCTGCAACTCCACAGGCGGCCCTCTGAGTTCCACCAGTCGGTCCTGTCAGGGCTAGGTCTGCTCATGCGCGGCTAGGCTACGAAGACGCTCCAAATCACTTAATTTAGGGGTTAGGGTTTAGGGCCTAGGGCTAGGGGACTTGATAATGTTAGAACCGGGCTTTGGGGTCTATAATACCCCGATTGTAATGCAGGGGGGGTCTGCTAAATTGTTTTGGAGGGCTGCAAGCACAGGCAAGCACCGGATCGTTTGTCGCAGGAACATTAGAAGGGATCTAGGCGGGCTTCTTCGGATCTGAAGCCAATTCAAGCTTTCAGCCTGGGCCTGACATGCTTAAATTCTTGAATCTTGCAACGCTGAGGAAACAGCCTGGGGTTCAGGTTCTGGTGTGGAGCTTGGGGTGTTGGTTGTAGGAGGGCCTTTCATTTCTCATCCTCTTTGCTCCTCCCTAGCCTCTGCCGATTGCTGCCCACACCGGGTTGGAGAAAGATTAAGACTAAGAGGCTTAAGAAACGGGCTGCACCACAAAAATGAAACTGTAGAACTCGGCATGTTCCGAGCTTCACGGTGTTTACACCTGGACATGAGTCTCACCTCCTCGCCGAAGCCTTTTGGGGCATCTGTGCCCTGGAAGAACTGCATTTGGGCGCCCGAGTCCTCCTGGGAACGGAGGTAGGCTGTGGAGGGGTTCAGGTTCGAATAGTATGCCAGAGCTGAATGGTTCCAAAATCCAACCCCCAGATCGAATCTCCAAGCCCAGAGACCACAAAGCCAAGCCTTCGAAGCCTTGTTTGCAATCGCAACATAATCTCAAAGCCACGGAAACCCTTGAAAGTACACTTGTTTCCCAATGGGTTTACAGACAACCAGAAACGCCACTGTACCCTGCAACCTAAGCACTCTCCCCCCGCCTGTACTTCTCGTCGATTCCCACTAGAGCCTTACAAAAATCTTATTGGTCTCCTGAAGCATCTTGATCCGCTTGCCGCCGCGACCGATCAACAGCCCGGCCGCATGCACCTCAAGAAGATCGCCCGGGCCAGTCAAGATTTGTAGGGCTTGCAGGGTTCTGTAATCTCCGAGCATTTCAGGCTTGGGGCCTGGGACATGTGATGTACACACGGTGACGCACATGGAGCAAAGCAACTTTCTACCAACTGCCTTGCAACATGGACATGCACTTGATGCCGGTGGCTGTCACCTTTACAACAATTTGTCTTCGAGACCTTGTTTGTAAGAGCAAAAGTGTGTGTGTATCTATATATATATATACATATAGACCTCAGATTGGCTTGTGCTTCAGTCTGAGAGCCCTTGTAACCGAAATGGGGGATGTTGAGTTCACCTTTGGCAACCGACTATAAGGTGCCATGGCAAACTTGATGGCGAGCCAGTGATTGGTCAAAGCAGTGTTCTGGCACATGTCAGCGTGCATCACATCATATCTCTACACTAGACCTATATGCACTTCCGCAGGACCCCTCCCTGGTAGGGTTTCTTTCAAGGCGCATTCATCACCACACGTGCCGTCCACTCGCTGCCCTGCACTCTCGGTGCACGCGGCGCTGCAGGCCGTGTTGGCAGCTCCGACGGCCAGGCAAAGCGCATGGCTTCTTTGGTGAAAGGAAATGAGGCTCAGGGTCTAGTGCTTCTTTCGAGCGGGCTTCTTACGAGTAATCGGCTTAGGAATGAAGACAGTAGTACTTTGACTACATATATGCTTGAATCAAATCTGATGCCTTGTTCTTTGTGGGGCAATTGATTTCTGGAGTTGGGTGTCGAGGGCTTGGCACGATGTCACGCGTAGCCTTTTTGTTTGTGGAGGGTCTAGGCCTTTCTCGCGTTGTTCCTTCTGGCAAGTGGCCCAAGTCTGTGAATAGGGCTAGTTATTTCCAGTCGTTCGGCTGCTTACAGTGCGGATTCTTGGTGAGAGGAATGTGCCGAGATCGCGCTGTGGGTGAATTCAGACCGTCGTAGTTACAGGGTCCATATGACGCATGGGCCGAAGCTCAGTTCATGGCTGCAGCAGAGCAAACTCTGATGTCATAGCACGTCTGATTGTGAGATATGCGCAGCCGGAAGCAAACCCTGTAAACCTAGGTCCCCCTTGAGCCAGAAAGCTAGCCGAACCTCAAACAACCATAACTGCTGACCCCAGGAACAGGGCCTGCGCCACAACCCGGGCAAGTTGGCCAACGGCCTCCCGCTGCATCAAGAAAGCCCTTTCGGCTTGGGGTAAAGCTTTTGATGTTTGCATGTTCAATTTTGGTGTGGTGTATGCTTTGGGGGTAAGGCATGGAAGCTGCACAGACTGCTAGAGGCGCTAGGGGTTTTTGATGACGTAGTGTATACCAAGGCTTCTTTTCTTCGGCTCCTAGTATGCTGCATGTCGTGCACACAAATCGCAATTGCACAGGACCTTACCTTTCGTGGGATGTGGAGCGTTAATATAGCGGCCTTAATAATTGGAATAGAGTCTCGGGGGCCGTTCTACTAATTATGATAAGGAACCCCCGAAACAAAAGTAATTATGAAGGCCCCAATATTAAAGATCAACCTTCGAGTCTTGCCCAGGGAACCACTCGGGGTAAGACTCCGAGCACACAAGCTATCAAGGTATTCCAAGGTGGAACGTGCGAGAAACGAGGCTGCGGATGGAAAGCACCTGGTGAAGATTTGGTGTTTAAAAACCTTGATGTTTGGAGACATGTGAAACACAAGACTCGGGATGGGCCAGTGGGTGCTACGAGCCCAAGCCAGCGATCAGAACCTCTTCGTGAGTCGCCAAGTTCATACCCCGGAAGGCATCGAGACAGAACCACAAGCCGAAACCCTAAACTAAGCCCAAACCGCACCCTCTAGAGTCTGCGGACACCTGGCCCCAAAAAAGTCTACTAACAGAGGCTCCTTAGAAGAAGCTGAATACATCTTTACATCTTGGTCTAGACCCCAGATCTCCTTTAAGCTTTAAGCCCTTCCCCCTTAACAGGCTATATGGGTAGTTGTCAAAATTAAGGTCCCTTTTTGGGTACCCTAAATAATAGGAGCCGCATTATAATAGGGACCCAAAAGGGGACCCCAATTCTCACAACCACCCATATACCAAGCAAAGAGTTTAAGGACAACCGATTTCTTTCGGAAGGCACCTGACCAGGGAGAGACCGGGCCGCTTTGGCCAGAAACAAGGCAAGAGCCGCCGGGTCCTCGGTGGTCAACGCCGCAACTCCCTTTTCGCACGAGGGCCTACCTGGACCCGAAAAACCCTACCATTTTTAGGGCTCCCTACTATGGCTTCCTGACAAAAGTCCATGAAGAGGTAGGTTATTCAGGGCCCAGGTAGGTCAACCCTTTAGAGTCAAATCCCCTGCCAACCTTACAGGCTCTTTGCAAAGCCAATCATTGAACCCGACACCCTTAACTCTAAACCCGAAACCCGAAACCGTAAACCCTAAATCCGAAACCCCAACCCTAACGCCGAAACCCTAAACCCTACCCCAAACACTCGTTGCTGCGCGGCCAGGGCGACTTCCTTAAGGACCTGAAGGACACTTCAAGGACTGCATGTACTTTAAGCTAGGTAAGTTAAGCTTTCAGGTTTTACCTGAAGGCTCTATGATATAGGAAGTCAAGGCTTACGATTCAGATTCAATTCCAGTCTGCAGATTACGGTTTGTATGATCCTTTTGCATGTAGCTACCTACACACAGCCTCCGCCCCAGGTCGAAACCTAGCACCTCTCCCCCAAACTAATAATCCTTAGTTAGAGCCCGAAACCTTACACTCCGAATCCTACACTTCTTGATGCCAACCTTGTATTAAGCTCAAACCCTCGTCCAAATCCGCTCCGCCGAGGTACTAAAGTAGCCTGTGTCAGGAGAGTCCAGGCACCTCGGAGGACGAAACATTCGGGTCATTGGGCTCCGGGTTGGGGATTTGGGATTCAGGTTTGGAGTTCAGGGCCGGTGTTGAGGTTGGGGTTCTGGGTTTAGGACACGTTGAATGTGTCGAAGCTTTCCGGGTGCAGAGTTTAGGCTGTCAGCTGGTTCTTCAGCGGCTCGAGACTTGCTTTTAGTTTGGCAGTCTTGGTTTTAGGAGCCCTTATCTGCAGACATGAGAAGTGAAGCCTAGCCGCATCTCCGTGATCGGGAACACCACAAAGAAGCACGACCGGCGAATGAAGCTGCTGGTTCTACAGTAGCATTGCCATTCAACACGCAATTTGTGAAACGATGTCTGTCTACGAATCGGACGAAGGACGTTTCGCCCAACCCGAGGTCTAAACCCAAATTACACACCCTAAATTGTTAAGAACCCGTCGTTTCCAGAAATAGCGGACTGTTGACAGTCTTCACCCCGTTCCATCCGGCCTTCCATCGCAGAAGCTACGGCGGAGGCCTGAGGCTTGGACAAGTGGTAGTACTGACTGAGTACTGATTCAAGTCAAGGTACCATACGGTAGATTAAGTGGACTCAGTGTACTGGGCTGGTGGGGCTTGACATGCTCCTCTGTATCACATGCTTGCCCTTCTCCATTCTTGCATGCGCAACCTTGTTCAGACTTTTCATCCTTACTACCACGCAGTAGGTGAAAGTTCGGGAAAAGTCCAACCAAGGCGCATGGCTGGTCAGTTTTTCAGCCTCCGGAACTCTACCCGGAGCTATCTATTCACGGGTCCTTTTACAGCACTCGTCCTACCTTGGACCTCATGCCCCAATTCAGGGCCAATCCTTGTTGCCACGCGACTCTAACTCACAGCCCAGATCCGACATGTAATCCTGGACACGAGCCCGTGAAAGCCCTAACCTACCAGTAATCTGTAACATCTTAAGGGAAAACATGATCCCAAGACAAGTCCCCTCTTACAAAACATACAGCAAACCCTAGACTCTATACGGAGCCCTGAATCGGGACATCTAGGAGATATGTCATACATATATATATATATATATATGCACATTACATGCTGTATATTACTGCATAATAAAATGTGTTGTTGGAGCCGCCTCCGCAACTGCCGCCAGCTCGGCGGCGGCGCGCAGCGCGAGGGAGCTTCGCGGGGGGTCACCTGAAAGATAGGATCTAAAGGCTTCGGAATTTGGGTCTTGGGTTTCAGAGTGGAAGTACTCAGACTTTATGGCTGAAGAAGAAATAAAGGGTTCGAGTACGTATGTTCGAGTGTGCACATATGTCAGCAAATCAGCGAAAGCAAACAGAGAAACTGATTGAATGATGCGCGTATGTGCCATGCGCAACCCTGGCAGAGCCTGCTCGCCCTAGAAATAGTGACATGTCCACTATGAGCCGCCTAACACATACATATGGAATTAAACTTGCTCCGAATCATGCAACTGCCATTCACAGTGACAACGTTGCCACAGGGCTGCAGGAAATCTCAAAGCTGGCTGCTCCTTTCGGCCTGGGTCCTGGTTTGAGGATCTGATTATTTGGGGCTTACGTTTATGCAAGGGCCTCCTGCTCTCTGAAACACTCAGAACTTGCGCTATCGAAGAGATCGGGCAGTTTTACAGGTGACAGCTTCAGAACATCCTGTGCCGTGGATTGGAAGTTGAAGCCCTTTTGCCCCAACTCTTGAAGGTGGGATCTCCCTTGAGCATTTGTGGAAGCGTGCGGCAGCCCGAATTATCAACTCTCAAAGATGGAAACAACCTCATGGATCCAGGGAGGTCACGCAAGCCCTGCTGTCCAGGCAGATGTCTCGAGGAGGTCGTTGATTTTCCGTATGCAGGTATGCCTGTATGTATGACATACGTACTAGGTAGGTAGGCAGATAGGTAGGTAGCAATGTATGTACGCGTGTATGTATGCATGTTTGTATGTGTGTACTATATATATATATATATATATATATATACATATATATATATATATGTGTGTGTGTAAACAGGCGGCGACCATTTATATATATGTATATATGTATATATGTATATATATATATATATATGTATATATGTATATATATATATATATATACATACATACATATATATATATATATACGTACAAACATACAGCTATATACACACCCACGGGTATGTGTGTATATATATATATACACATGTCAATATGTGCGTATGATGTACGTCGGTATGTCGGTATATATGTATGTATGGATGGATGGATGTATCTATGTATGCATGTATAAGTATTAGGTGTACATGTACATGTGTGTGTATGTGCAGGTGTACGTGTAGATAGTCGTATGAAAAGTAGTCCGCGCAGACAAAAAGCTTCGGAAGGATACCCGAAGTCCGATTTTGAAGATGCGTCCTCGACACTGGGCCCAAGCCACGCCCTGAACTCCGATACCCTAAATCAGTTCGGGCACCGAGTGCTGCGTCGAGGCAATCCTGAACAACTTAACATATTACTGCTGGTAATACTGTTTGAACAGAGAGAATCGAGGAATGTGACAGCAACTTGGAGAAAGCCCTACTAATGGTGAAAAGCTCCAGCACATAATGCACTATCGCATACTATCAGCAAAACATCATCTAAGACAGGCGAGGGTGTGGGAAGCTTCGGCCCTGGGGTTCAGGGGAATTGAGGCTTCTCCTGCGCGACGTTGCTTCAACCCCTCAAGTCAGGAGGCCTAAACCCGGAGCCCAGAGTTCTGAGCAGCTGAGACATGAAAGATCGTAGGATTTCGGGCGTGGTGCTTAAGACTTACTCTGTTAGGGCGGGCTGAAAGTCAGGTTTCAGGGCTGGGGCCTCCTCAAGGAGCCAAAGGAATGTGTAGATGCTTCAATTCAACATAAAATATGCTTCCAGGATCCACGGATCTTGAACCTGGCTTCGAACATCCTATATGCCGTAAGCCGGAAACCATGGCATTGCTCGTCTGCAGCTAACCTGTAACCTTGAGAATACAAACACCTCCGAAAGCCAAGATGCCCCTGGGCATCGTAACGCGAAACCTCGATGAACCCCTCCAGCCCAAGCCCCTCCAAAACCCAAGCCCCTAACCCTGATCAACCGGAGACTTTGTAAATCCGGTTGCTCGGATGCAGCAGCTCGCCACATCAGGGAAAGCCTTTGTGGCCGCAGCGGCGGCCTCTGCAGTGTCCGATAAACTCTTGGGGCTTAGTGCTTGAGCCTGGGGGCCCAGTTTAGGAGTTTCCTGCGCGGACATTTCCTGCAACTCCATCCTGTCACTCCAAACCCAAGCCCAAGCTTCTGCAACTGGAAATCCTGAACCCTAAACCCTTTGAAAACCCTAAATCCTGAATCTCCCCACGCGGACCACGTCGACTCCCTAAGAGCCCCAACTAAGGGCCCCGGTGAGCTTCGAAGGCCTGGGCCAGCACCAGCGTCGAGCTGGGAGAGAGGTTAGGCCTTGGCCATAGATTAAATATTTACATATTATTTACGACAATATTATAAAGGCTTACTATATGTATATCCTTTATACATGTATAATATTACGTATATTACATATTAAAGAAGGAAGATCGTACAAGCACATATCTTTAGGGAGCAGAGATTTGGGCTTTAAGGTATTTCTGACTCAGTGGGGGATTGACTGTCAGGATGCATGTCGATTTAATCCTGCAGCTCCAGCGATGGTCGGGCTTTGGGTTTCCGAATCCGCGACACGGACAAGAACCTAGAGAGTGCCCCGACTTCCCCAAGCCAAAGGCAAGCTGAAACACATTATCAAGGCACCTATACTATAATACCCTAAAAAGTATCCCTTACAGTAACCTTTAAAGGGCCCCCTTTAAAGGGAACCCCATTCTAAATGAAAGACTCTTCAGTTTGTCCAGTGACTGGGCAGATACCAAGGCCAGCTTCAACTGCTGCTGCAAGTCAGCGCGGACCGCCTGGTGGGGGTGTTGGGGTTTAGGGTTTAGCGCTTAGGGCTTATAGGGTTTAGGATTTGGGTTTAGGGTTTAGGTCTTAGGGCTTGTAGGGTTTAGGATATGGGTTTAGAGTTTCAGGTTTGGGTTTGGGGTGTGGGGTCTAGGGTTTGTACCGGGTTAAGGTGTTGCAGATCTTCTCAGCTTTGCTTTGGGGTAACGGTTAAAGTGCCCAGGGTTCAGGGTTTAGTCTTGGACCATGATGGGTTGCCATACCCATCTATTTCTCGCTATCTCGCTCTATCTATTTCTGGCTCTCTCTCGCTCTCTCCCTCCCTCTCCCTCCCTCTCCCTCTCTCTCTCTCTCTCTCTCTCTCTCTCTCTCTCTCTCTCTCTCTTCACTTCACTGGGGTCGAGCTCCAAGGAGCCCGCGCCTAGGCGCCCCCCTTCCCCCATCTTCGGTGGAAAAGGGCTTTGGGGCAGCAGTGCTTGGGGATTGTTTCCCCCGTGGTCGTTGTAACTTGTGGAGTTCGCCTGTCGGTAAACCTCCCTGACCCTTTACTTTATCGTGCCTCCCGGCCTCGTCACCGCGCTCTCTGTAGCACTGTCCTAAGTCCCTGCGACAGGCGAATCTCTCTCTCTCTCTCTCTCTCTCTCTCTCTCTCTCTCTCTTTGTCTGTCCATTCATGAAGACCGGACCTCTGCTGGGCAGCTAAATCAACTGTGCAGGCCTGACCCCACGGAGACCAACTCAAAGGAAGGATGAAAGGGCTCCTTCGCCAGCCACAAATCCTTGAAGCAGAACCATAAACCCCGCAATCCGGAATCTAAACGTTGTAAAGGTATACCCGACAGCCTCCCTGGCTCTTGAGTTTTGTATGGCTGACCGACCCGGCAAGGCACAGCCCCTAACAACAAACGGCATTTAAGCATATTGTTACAGTATATCATAGCGGTATATATCTGAGTAGTACACTATAGCATATTGCAGTATTGTAGTGTGTTTCACATACTTTTCCTCAAACCCTTGATCCTAAATCCTGATTGGGTAACTTGGCTCTCTTTGTACTTGCAATGCCTCCGCACACTCCTTGCGCGTAAGAGTGGGGCAGCCAAGCTGACAAAGCTTCCTGAACTTGTAGGGTTTATAGGCTTTGAGATTCCAAGGTCCAAGATTATGCTCTTCACATTGACGGAGTTGGATTTCGCATCAAGGACTGTGTGGTTTTGATGTGTGCCAGCTTATCCGGTTTTGGTGCCAACAAGCCAACAGATCGTTATTCTCGATCTCCCGTCTTCTAGATGAACACACTCGTCTTCAGGTTTGTAAGTCTTTTTAGCCTTGTCTTACGCTGTAGAGTTTCTCTTGTCCCTCCTTTTGCCATCCAGATGTATTGTTGTATTGCTCGCAGGGCCCGAAGACAACCCCTCACATCGCATAAAGTAGCAGCTCAATCTCGGCAGGACAAGGTGGAAATCCAAAACCTCAAGCCTGGAACTGCAAAACTCGCGTGAGGCTGGGGAGCTGCTCCCTTTTCTTCCGACAGGGTTCAGACCTGAGCGTAAAGAGTGAACCCCACCCCGGATCATCAACGCTGCACCCGTTTCGAAGATGCCATGCAATGAACCCATCTAGGCAAACGGCTGACGAATACCAACCCTGAATCATCATCAGTGATGCTATGACACAAAAACGGAACTCTGACCAAACTGTCGAAGCAATTTCCAAAATATGACCCCCACCCCCATAATAGGGTAGAAGCGAGGCTGCTGTTACATTTCGAACCCAAAACGTCTTAACAATCCATGTCTGCGGAGTCGCATCAGCGTGACAGCCCCATTGTGATCTTGCTTCGCCTCGAAGCTCGGAGCTCTCTGAGTAGGGGGTCTTATGATTTGACTAGGTTTGGGGGGCCCATTATACTATAAGTGTAAAAAGGAACCCTGCAAATAGTATGGGTAATTATTTAGGCCCCTATAGTAGGGTGTTGGGCTTAGGGTTTAGGGTTTATGATGTCAGCGTGTAGGGTTCCAGCGGCGATGATTCTTTATTGGGGTTCAGGGTTTGACTTTCGGACCAATCTCGCAAAGCGGGGCTTCTCGAAACTAAGCGGGGGGCGCAGATTAACCGTAACCCACCCCACAAGCTAGACCTTAAACCTGAAAACCTCTAAACTCCCCAGACCCACCGCCGACCAAGCCCGGAGCTCGAAAAGGAAAGGCGGCATCCGGCCCTGCGGCCACCTCTGTGTTGCTTTAGGGTTCACAGAGAGCGGGCCGGTCAGTCGCAGGCTTCGGGTTTCGGACTGAAGTTTTGCGGTTGAAACCGGGTTTCACGGTAAGGCAAGGAGAGCCTTGAACTGCGGAGTAGAACTTCATGTGGGCCTTGGGGCTCAGGGATTTATGAGCACTAAACTCAGGTCTTGTTCGGGTTTCTTGTAAGAAGCCCCATAAAGTACACTGAGTCCGGCTCGCGGCTCGGTAAGTTTTTGGCTTCAGAGGTTCCGGCCCATCTGTGTGACGCCGTCGGGTCAGGATTCTGTAAGTTTCGGGGATTTCATTTGTGAGGGAAAGGTCTAAGTCTAAGGTTTGGGAAGCAGGTGGTCAGGGTCTGTAGTAGACTTCATGAATGGAGCGCAGGGGTAAAGCTTGAAAGTCAAGCTTCAGAAATAAAGGCCGATGCCTCCCATGCTGTTCATAGCGTTTGAATCCAACACCCAGGTCCTGAGGGTTGCGCTCGAATACCTTGAACAGCCTAACCTAAAGCAACCTCCTAAAACATCTATCTCAACGGCAGCCGTTGTAGCAGGATAGATTCTGCTCCCCGAGCCTTACACCCCAAAAGCTCTAAAGCTCTGAAAGCTGAGAGCTTAGACCCCAAAGCGAGCATCCTAAACCATCAACCCACAACACTGCGGCACCTTTGGTCCTTTTCAAGGTCACCCCGCCTTCTTGGGACAAGCCCAACCTCTACATAACTCTAAACCTGCACATGCAAAGGCCCTGCTAAACAACTTGTCAACTGGCTCTACAAAATCCTGGAAACCACCTGTAGGACCCTTTCTTGGAACCGTTAATCCCCAAAAAACACGAAACTCGTATGATGAAAGCCCCAGCCGTTGAACCCTAAACCCTGAAACCCGTGAAGCGCTACACCCAAACACCTTAAACACTAAAACCCAAGCCTCCTCCGCGATATTTAGCGAAGCACGAGCCATGGTAAAAAGCCTTTCACTCGCGAGGGTGACCGTACACGAGGTGTACAGTTTGGTTTGCTGGTTTGGGATGAGGATCTCAGGTGTTGGATTCAAGACCTTAGCACCTTAGGGCCTTGGGACACAGGGTTTTAGAGCTTCGATGGTTAGGTTTTGCAGGGTTGTGGGATGAGGGTTCAGGTTGCGGGGCTTCGCAAGGCTCAGGATGGCCCAGGGATGTTTTGCTCGAACACAAGTTTTATAATCAAGGTTTGTGGTGTAGGGCGCAAGTCCTCGATGCTGCTGATTGCCTGCTGCATAACTTCATGCGCTCACTGAAGCGTCATGCACAGCTTTGGACTCGCTTCTTGAGTGCCTGTGGAACTTTGCGAGTAGTTGAATTTGCTTATGTCCTTACACACATAATGCAACTTTAAACAACCTCAAACTCTGTCCTACGATGCCCCATAGATTCTGGAGTTTGCAAGCAAGGGCAGCATAAGCAGAGTCCTTGCTTCTGACAGTTCTGAGCGCTGCTGCAGCCAACGAGCAGACGGCATTTCAACACCATAAGAGGCAATTGCATTGAAACCCCCTTATTCGACAATCTAAATCCTGCAGCCTAATCTTCAAAACCCAAAAACGTAAACCCAAACACCACAAATCCCACACCCCGACGACATTAACCCAAAGCCCTGAAGCCCCAAACCCCTAGATTCTAAACCCCGAATGCCCAAAAGCCTCAACCCGCGAACCCTTGGGCCGCCTATCCCCCAGAGCTGCGTCTTGAACGCACAGCGGCCCAAACACCCCGGCCTGAAGGAAATGGGCCGTGGGTCTAGTGCAAGGGTCTTAAGAATCGGAATAGGGTTTCGGGGTATAGTATGGTATACGGGTATATAGGGACTACACGGGGACAGCATGATGACGAAGTATTCGGATGAGGGCGTGTTTGCTCTGTCTTGGGGGTTCAGGCGCAGGTTGCCATGCTTCTTCTCGTACTCATTCCTGAATGGGCAATCTATTGCCAGGCCGAAGCTTCTCTGCCGACATGGCAGGATTTATGGTTCATGGTTCATGCTTTTTCGGCTTTAGAATGGAATCCCGGATGTTTTCCAGGTCCTTCCGAGCGGCACATTGCAAGAACATGGAGATCAGCTGCCGGTGGGCACCAGACTGCAGAAGCGGGCTGCGCTCGCCTTGGACAGGCTGTCACTTAATTTGCGTGTTGGCAATCGGTTCTTTTGTTTCGTGGCTTAAGGTCTGATCTAACGAGCTCTAAAAGCCTTCGAGCCATCTTGGTGCTGTGTTCCGGCCGTGCCTGCTGGCTCAATGGCTGGGAATCTCTGCTTCATTTGCAGGAACCCTGAGCCTCAACCCGAAGCTCCAAACCCTGAACCACAGAATGGACCCAAAAGCAGGACGAAATCCTCTCCAAGTGACCCAGAAGAAGACCATGCAGCTCTAAAAGCTGCTGGGAGAAGAGACTGGCGGCCAGAAGCCTGATTCAGGCTTTGGTGCGGACTTCAGAGAACACTGCTTTAGGGCTTGCGGTTCTTTACAGGACGTAGGACGACTTCATCGGAGTTCGCTTCCTCAGGAAACGCTTGAGTCCGGGGTCGAACCCTTGGGTTGGCATGATGCTCAACGACCATGAGGAGGCTTCGATCTAGTGTCGGGATCTTACGCCAGGGTTTCAGTTCGGGGGAGTGGGCGGCAGAGCTAGTTTGTTCAAACCTGGAGGAACCTTGTACTTGTGAAGTTTGGCCCTGCAACCTGCTGGTTTTAGACTTGTAGCACCAATTTCTCCAAAACCAGACGCTACCAAAGAAGAAGCCAGCTTCGAGCTGGTTACCGTAGGACGCAGCTCCAACGATCACGGTGGACACAGGGCTGGAGAACACCCGAAGTCCAATGAAAGATGATGCCAAGCGCCCCTTTGCATCCTCACTGAAAACCTCAACAAATTGAAGCCCTCATGATATGTGCCATCTTCACTGCAGACCCGACTGAATAGTCAAGCGTCAGAGAATCTCAACACTGAGGCTCCAGCTCTTTGGCCAAGGCCGACAATGCGTGCAAAGCCTTCCGACGCATCGACTGGCTCAGGATTTGTAATGAAGGCCCCTGAGTAGTGACCTCCTGCTTTGTTTAAGGGCCAGAATTTCACAATGCTCATCCGGCTCACCTGGGCCCCCCAAAAAAGCGATCCCTGTTGTGAGCCCGGGTGGTCGCTTCGAAGGGGCTCCGGAGCCACGAGCTCCCAGTTTCACAAGCTGCGGGCTTGCGCGGGGGACTGGAGAGGTCGCTGGAACTACCCGTTGATTTACAGTGATGCTAATATTAATAGTAATCATCATCCGTCATCATCATAGTAATACGTAAGAATTTTGTCCCCAAGCCCTCAGAGGACACGCATCAGTCTGCTTCATCGCTTCTGCTTGCATTTCTGGTGCTATTGAACTGTCATCCGAGGGTTCCGCCCCCAGGCAGGTCGGAACTCTACTACCGAGCAGATTCCTTGAACCTTAACCTAGGTTCCCCAGTAGACCTTTAATATTAAGGGTACCACAAGTCTCAAAGAGCGGTCATGTCAAATAATGAGGGTAATAAGTAATAAGTGTACCCTCTTCGCTACTGTTTGGTCTTAATAAGGAGACCCCAAGACCTAGCAACTTTGTGGAGCCGACCAGCCTGAAGCCTCTGGTTTTAGCCTTGTCTTGGCCTCTTCGAGATGACGCCAGTCACCCAGGAGCCGTCCGGCGATGTCACTGCTGATCTCCTGTCATAGCCCAAAACAAGAGAGAAAGAAAGACAGAGAGAGAAAGAGAGAGAGAGTGAAAATTAGGGGTACCTTATTGGGGTCCTTGTACAAAGGATACTACTAACTATTTGAGCACTACATTAGGGTCCCTTGTTTTCGGAAACTCCCGAATAGGGGAGAGTACAAGATACAAAGAAAGAGATAACCAAATAGATAGACAAAGGGACAAAGGGATGGATTGGTAGGCAGGTAGATAATAACCATGCAGACAGATAGAAAGAAAGATGCGGAGATACACAGATAGGGAAAGAGGCCAACACTTCATAATTCATAATTGCCTCGACGCTGGCTATAGTTCGGGCCTGCTGCTTCAAATCAACGTGAATGCTTTGAGGGATCATTAACCGCAGTGCCTGCTCACAAGTTCCCATGCTTAGCAACCAGATCTTGTACTGAGCCCTGGGGAAATTTACAACCTTCCACGAAGACACGAGTGCGCAGAACCCTACGTGGCTCTACGAAACCTAAGAGCAGAGCCCCTCATCAAATCCTTCACTGGGCACTATAGCCGACAGCCCGTTACATGGAACCCTCTACGACTTAGGTACTTTGGAGGTGTGTATAACATGTCTTTTTGGGTTGCGAACCTCCAACATAAGACGTAAGTAGACACGTGGCCGTAAACCCCAATCCTAATCCTTCAACCGTACCTGTACTTTGGAAGCTACCGCCGTCGACGCTTACCTACTTGCAGGTACTAGCCAAAGATTAGGAAAGTCATGCCGACCACTAACAGAGTAGTGACACGTTCAAATCTGCGGCTGGTTAGCTCAGAATGGTGGTGATGGCCGATGAAAATTTTAACAGAAGTCTCCTCAAGACATCTTTGCAGACATACAATACGACATCTGGGCTAAGTGCTATACCTCTACACAAGTCTTTCCGCACATTTCCGCACATGTGTAAAGCTGCCAATTCGTTTTGCATTGGTTCACGATGGTCAAAGATCAAGACCGCTCTTTTGACACGGAAAACGAGGCAGAACACAACTGTTCTGAGGCAACCTCATTTGGGGCATGCCTGTGTAAAAGTCAAGAACAGCCTTATACACAGGGGGAAGTCACTGAACACTTGCATACTCAGTAGCCCTGGCTTCCACTACGGGAACTATAAGCCAGAATGGTGACGACAATTGCAGCAATGCCAGCAGCTACGGCACCTGCTGCCGATATTGGCAGAAGGCGGTTGACCAGAAGGCTGCCACCAGCAAAGAAAATCATAAACACGAAGAAGATGGCCATGCTCACAAGGCAATCGTAGACCCATGTTGATCCGCGAGAAGCCCATCGGCTGCAGAGGTTCCACATGACTTTCACGCAGAACATGAGCCAAAACATCGTTATGCCAAGCCCTAAGCTGGTGAACTCAGCCATCACAATCTCGACGGGTGCCCCAGCACGGATCATGGCTACGCAGACGTCAACAGCCATGCAAAATGGGCTGATAACTATGAGCAGCACGTAGCTCAACGGAAGGCCCACTCCAGAAGCTGCCACGAGCTCCTTCCTCAACGGGCCACGCACGTACTCCGTGAAGGCTTCCTCACTGCCATACCAAGCAGAGATGGCCAGCAGCTGCCAAGTGGCATTCTACGTTTTGCAGGTCGAAACTCTCCAGGGATTCCGTGAGTTCTTGCTCCTCTCTCACGAACCTTCGATGCACATGTATAAAGAAGAGCCCGACGGGCAAAACGCAAACATTCGCAAGAGCCACAATGCCGTGGCCTGTTCTAACCGCGACATATACCCCGCTGCAAAGGCCGCTAGCCAGCGTGAGAAGAAGGATCTGGCTCTCGACGAACAGCGGCTTCAGCTTCAAAGGCTTGTGCGGGTTTGCCTTGCGAAATGCGGCCAACTCGAAAACGCACCACAGACCTGCGGACCCATCATCAAATCGAAGTGGAGACAGATGAATACTATCTCCCCAACAAGATCCAACAAGCACAACACTCCTTACTCGTAATCCTGGGGCTCAGGTTTACATGCCTTGCATCATGTAACCCCGAAAACTGGAGGACCCGATAAAAATCCAAGAAACCAACAGCCGTGAGAAATGCGAGTAACTTCAACCTAACCTTGCTAGCAGCTCTGGGTAGCCGGACCTATACCTTTCGTCTGCAGCCAAGGAGCGGGTCAGGTACGGCGGCGACCATAGAACATGCATCTCCTTCGAGATACTCAGGAAGCCTCCTAGCCCGTAAACCCCTCGCTGCTTCATTCTCTTGTCTGTCTGATGAATGCTGACCACATCGAGAAAACATTTCGGCGAACGAAAGGCGCAGCTGCAGTACGGAAGTATGCAAAAAGAAATCTGCAATGTCACGGTGCCGGCCAAGTAAGTCCATGGAGAGAAAGGACACATAGCCTTGAAGCCCATGACATTCACAGGCCAGGTCAAGGGTGTTGTTGGAAGCATACCAACAGCACTCAGGATGGATATCGCTGCCGCACAGCCAAAGCTGTGTATCAGCAAGGTTCGCCAACCATGCTGGAGCAACAGTGAGAGCACCTTCCTGCTGCCTCGTGTCCTCCATGTATGCGAAAAAAACACATCGAACTTGTCGACGGGCTGCGACATGCTCCATAGCTTCGTCTGAGACTCCAAGTCCAGGTCTAGAGGTGAGGCTTGCCAGAGTGTGCCGAAGTTTCGGAGGGTGGCGACCAGCGGGATCCCCCGCACGATTTCCCTCTCCACCTTGAAGCTGATGGCGCGTTGGACCATTGGCAAGTCCGAGCTGAACTGCGGGGACACGGACAATGTCAACAACTCTGAGCTCGACGAGCTCCTCACCGACACTCGGGCAGGAAGAATCTCATCAGGAAGTACCAACTCTAAACCTGACTCGATAGAGTCAACGATGGATGAACGCGGTGACGGTGTCTCTGGAAAGCAATTCTCGTCGTACTGCGCAGCGCCGACGACTTCCACGGGCAACGTGCCCACCTGCTCTTCACAGCAAGCGCTGGTGCTGGCATTCGCACCCATGGCAAGGTGTGGAGGGCTGCCGCTCAGGCATGTGGCAGCTGTGCTTAGGAGCTAAGGAACAGACTTGAGATGCGCTTCGTGTGCGAGGCCTATCAACCCAAGACTCTGTGCTACAGCGTCCCCGCCACCCCAGTTCAGTTCCGCGGAACGGACGGCGGAAGTCTCAGATCTTCTTAACACATTGACTTCAGGTTGAAGCTCACTCATGCAGCTGTAAAGTTAGCCTAAAGCTACAAGCCAATCCCAGGCTTCCTCCAAAAGTAGCGGCAAGAGCCTTCCCGGCGCCGCCTCGCGCTGCCGTGCCTAAGGCTCGGGGTTCGGAGCTTCGCAAGCCAAGGATTTGGAGAGCTCAGCCGCTGACGGAATCAGGATTTGGGCTTAAGCTTCTAGTGCAGGGTTTCGAGTCCAAGGTTTGGGGTTGAGGACTTGGCAATAGCAGTTGGTTGACATGTTCGTGATTTGCAGGGTTTAAATTGGGGTCGACAAGTTTGAGCTGCATTACTTTTACATATTCATCTTCCGTAAGCCGATTTGCTTCAGGTCTGAACACAGGTAGCCTAAACCCTAAGCCCGAAACCTCTAAACCCGAAAGCCTACACCTGTACGGCTCCAGCCGCGGATTTGGGAGAGGCGTATGGCTTGGGGACGGTGTGGCAGGTAGGGTGGACTTTCCAAACACGTAGACACGCATCTGCAGAATTTGCACGAGGGCAGAAGGCAAGTTCAGCTTGATCCCGCTTGGCTGCTCAGACTCTCAGACTCTGAATGCCTCCATGGCTGTGGGGGAATTTCTGTAACTGAGCCATGACCCCGTTCAGGGGAGGGGATATACGCCCCCACACAGAAAAGGGTAAGGCTTCCGATAACTTGCAGCCAATTCCTGAAATTGTAAGATGGAATCCTCTCCTTGCGCCATGCTCCAAACTGCCTGTCCCTCCTGTGAGCCCAATCCCTTATTTGACAATTTCCCCAAACCCACAAACAATAACAAACTAAACATCCCTAAACATGTCCTTAAATGCTACCCCTTATTTTATTAAACTTAAACCAAACTTCCCTGGATTGCACCAGGAAAAGGAACCTTGGGGCTCGCCGTGGCTTTGGGCGAGGGGCCTTCGCACCGCTTTGGGGAGTTTGGAGTTAGGGTTTAGGGTTTGGTTTGGAGTTTGGGGTTTGGGTGCTGGGGCTTGGGGATTTGTTGATATTCAAGGGCGGAGCGTGATTCAGTGGCTCGGGTGGAGGTGATTTCAAGCTAGTTGCTGCTTCGGGAATCAGGGTTTAGGGTTTAGCACTCGCAGTCTTGCATAACTACAACCCATGAACAGTACCCCTGAAGCAGTCTACGGGGCGCAGATCAAGCCCTCCGACCCCAACTCCTTAGCTTCAGCAAGAGCCTCGCATCCGAATCCCACAAGCCCGACTCCGGAGAAACCGGAACCCTCCGAAACACCGAAGCCTCCCTCCCAAAACCGCCCCAAACCCGACGTAAACCCTAAAGCCCATAAGCCCAGCCTGCCCAACTCCCAACACCCTGACGCTCTTCGTGTTGCCTTTTGGCACCGGCGTTGCGGCACCGAGCTCCCGCAGAAAATCCCTGGCCTTCCGGCAGCTTCGTTTCGGTCCAGCTTAGGCGTGAAATGTTACTTCGCATCACCTTTCGTCCTGGCGTTCGGGTTCAGGGCCTCGGACACTGGGAGTGAGGATTTGGAGTTTAGGGCTGATCTTTGGTCGATTCGGTGCTGAGGATGTGAGGGAGGCAATGTAAACCTCATCAACCACGAGGCTTTCAAAGGCAGTGAGAACATGGCTATCAAATATCATCGATGCCAAGTCAGCCAGTTACAAGCCATCGACATGGAGTTGATGGCTCCGATCCCGTCGCTGCAGTTCGCAAGAGCCTTGTCAGGCCTGCCAATTTCAAACCTCAAACCTGTCCACCTGCTAAAAAACGAATCGCTGCAGGACCGCTGCGGCACCTCGCGCCGGAACTGCACAAACCCATCGCGTTCCTGACACACAGTTGAAGAATGTAAGAATACTGATAATGATACTGATATGAAATACGATAATGAAACGGAGGGTCGGATGGAGGTTTTGGGCCGCCCAGAGAGACAAACGTGCAACATGCAGGCACGAGGGGGCTTCAGGGCGCGCAGGATATGTAATTGAAACAGATGCGCAGTGTGTGTGCTATGAATGTTGCAGTCATTGAGAAGTGAAGGGCTGAGTTAAAGGGGACCTTCGGATCGAGAGTGGCATCACGAACTGCCGAGCATCCTTGCAGGAAGCCTCCTTGCCTCCTTGCCTCCGCCCCACCTGAAGTGCGAAGACCCCAAGACGATACCAAAGAAATCCATCTCTAAGCTACTTGAAATCGCTCTCCTCGGCCGACCAACTGACAAAGTCTGCCGGGAAAGTGGTGGCGTTGCGCAGGCTGCCGGCGGCCTGGCAGAAGGTGAGAAGCACCAAATTGCAGCTCGAATTTCTCTCCTCCAGCAAACAGGCTTTAGGGTTTTGGGGGTTTAGGGTATCGGGTTTAGTAAGGGTAATTTCTCTCCCTCCATGAATATACATGCTGCTGGATTAGCACAGGCGCTTGGACTTGAACCCCCAAAGTTCCTCACACCTCCTTTCATCTGCCTGCAGGGATAGGATCAGCAAGCTCCTTTTCGACAGTACAAGCGAGCCCGTGGAGTTGGTGTCTTCACTCATACTTTTGCCATGCGTGGCTCGGAAACCTCCTGATCCGACACCCTGAATGTGCAGACCTGACCTACCTATGCATCCTGGTTGAAGGACACCGCAACCCCACCCACTCCGAGCCAACTGCGTGGGTGCTGAACCCGGATTGCTGCCATTCTTGGAAAGCCCGTTTCAAGGGGGCCGAGGACAGCAGCAGTTTTGCCAAAAATACCATCGCACGCTCAGCAGCAAAAACCCCGAACCGCACAGCCGGGAAAAATAATGTATTTCGGCACACGGGCAATCGCACCTGATCGATTATCATCATACCACCAGCATCATCTTTGGCATCAGCGGGAAGATTATTCATGATCTTCACCTTCGCCATCACTCATCCGTCAACATCCTGCTCTTCAGAACCGTAAGAGACCAGTGTTGGGATCCGTGCCTTCAGGAGCACAGGCGAGTAGATCTCTTGAGTCTCTGCAGATGCTTCCATGACATATCCGTGCCTGAGAAGTGGGACTAAAGGGCTAAAGGGGTCAGGATATGTAGGGTTCTGGTACATTGCACAAACATTTGGGCCTGCTTCAATTCAGCATGCCATTTCCAAATCTCGGGGAATCGAGGGGTCCAGCTCCTGAATTCTGGTTAGTGTAGGGCTGGTGATCGATGGAACCCTCGAAGGAACCATTGCAGAAGCCTTACAGGAACACCTGGAGGACACCGAGACCTTCATCCTGAAACCCAGGCAACCCAGGCGCAGGTCGAGCCATGCGCCCGTCGCAATGGCCGCAGAATCCGCGCCCCAAGAGGCGCACTTCAAGAGGGCCTCCGGGTTTTCATTTTGTAAGGTCGGCTTGTTATGCCCGGTTCGGGACATGCACCACCATGTCTAAAGGCGACAGCTTTGGACAGTCCGAAGCTCGGACTTCGGACTGGGCAAAGCTGCCCTGGTCTCCCCACTGGGCTAGAGGCGACAATCGCGCATCCTGAGCCCTCATCCCTGAAACCCTGGCGCCCTAACGCAACTACAGTATGGGAGTTTCAGAAAATGGAAATTCTAGACAAGACCCTAAGCAGAGGATCCTAAGCCCATACAAAGACCCTTCGACTGCCTCAAGCAGCCGCGTCCAGGCTTCCGGAGGAGGCAAGGTCGCCACGAAGCTGCGCCAGGAGAAGACCTGGGCGCTTTTGAGTTCACAGTTTTAGGGCTGAAGGGTTTACGGCTCAAGGTTCAGGGTTTAGAGGTGAGTCGCTGATCGGTGTGTTTTACGGTGTCTGCTTTTCCTGTTCACCGGAGTTGAGCACTGTCGCCTCTTGAAGTTGTCAGCTACTCAAGCTATTGAGAACAGTCGTCGGGGTGGTAGCCTGAGCTTGAGATACATTAAGGTTCAAGACCTCAACACTAGACACGTCTGCCCAAAGCCTTGAAGCCAAGAATGCGGGCTGACTTTAAGTTGGCTTGTTTCCATCGGGCACCACGTGTAGCAGAAGGGCCATGGCCACCCTCTGCCACAGCTCTGAACTCAACTAAACCCTCTTCCCCGGACCCTCCGCCAAAGGCTCCAAAGCTTTAGCCGAAACCTCGAACTGCAAAGACATGCCCAGGGGTTTTCCAGCAGTCCAGCAGAACTGTACCCCGAGAAGGACGTGACCAGAAGGAGGCTACGTCTCGCCTGCTGCCCACAGGCGTACAGGCATGCATGCACGCATACCTGCATACCTGCATGCATACGTACAGACATACCGACATAAATCCATGTATGCTGCATGTGCGTAGATATATATATATATATATATATATGTATACATACATACAGAAATACATAACTTAACTTACACATTTACATTTACATCTACTTAAAATTTAGGGCACAAAAAAGCCCGAGCCAAGAAGGAGTCCGAGGTCCCCACGGCCGAGGCGATGAGTCTGCACAGTCTCCTCTGAGCCTCGTCTTGGCATGCAGGAAACTGTATCTAACACGAAAGAGACAGAGGGGAGACAGAGAGAGAGAGAGAGGGCGAGAGAGAGGGCGAGAGAGAGGGAGGGAAACATCCTTCGTGCTAAACTCTTCACCTTGGGGCTTCCGATGCTAAGTTTTTTGGTGCAGACTGGGTCGCAGAAACGCGTCCCCTCTCCTGTCCCACCCCCTCGCCCCACGAAGTCCGAACCAAGAAACTGGCAAACTTCCACATAAAGAAGATGTTCACCCGAACCTGGTGGGCGTAAGTAACATTGCGCTGAGGCTGAGGGTTTGCGAAGCATTCCTGGAAACCGGTGCCTAGAGCCCAAGCGCCCACCCATAGACCCAACA